GTCTCTACTAAAAAACACAAAAACTAAGCGTGCAAGGTGGCAGGTGCCTGCAGTCCCAGCTCCGTCGGGATGAGCTGAGGAGCAGGAAGAATGGGCGTAACCTGGGATTGAACACAGTGTATGTGTGAAGCAGGGGCTCATATTTATCAAGTTTTGTGTGTGCTCTGGGCTCAGCTCTGTATTTTGTTGTCTTTTGTTATTTTGGGAAAATTGTTGGTAATTTTCTCTTCAAACATTTTTTCTAATTTGTTCTTTCTTCTTCTTTTGGGAGTCCTATTACAAGCATATTATATCATTTGATGTTTTCCCACAGTTCTTGGATGCTCTTTTTAAAAAAAAACACAAAAAACTTTTTTTCCTCTTTGTTTTCCAATGTAATTCCTATTTTTCTTTTTTTTTTTTTTTTTTTTTTGAGACGGAGTCTAAGGGGCTCTGTCACCCAAGTGCTGGAGTGCAGTGGCCGGATTCCTACAAGCTCAACTTGCAGGGCTCCGGCCTCCCCGGGTTCACGCCATGTCTCACTGCCTCAGCCTCCCGAAGTAGGCTGGGACTACAGGCGGTCGCGGCCGGCGCGCCCCACCCACCCCCTCCGGCCCTGGGCTAGTTATTTGTATTTTTTAAGTAAAGACAACGGGGTTTGCACCAATGTTAGCCAGGATTGGCGACCTCCTGACCTCGTGATCCGCCCGTCTCGGCCTCCCAAAGTGCTGGGATTACAGGCTTGAGCCACCGCGCCCGGCCGTAATTCCTATTTTTCTCAGCTGTGTTGATGATACTACCGCCCCATCAGAAGCATCACCTGTTACCGCGTTCTTTCTTACCATCTGATGAGTTTCCTCCTCATGCATATTGTTCACCCTTCATACAAGAGACCTCCACATATTAATCATATAGCTATTTTAAATTTCCAGCCTGTTTCAATTTCTCGGTCACCTCTGAGTCTAGTTCTGTTAATTGCTTTGTCTTTTTTTTTGTTTTTGTTGTTGAGACAGGGTCTTGCTCTGTTGCCCAGGCTGGGGTGCGGCAGCGTGATCTCAGGCTGTTCCCTGAGTACTCACCATGGATTGCGAAGTGTCCGAGTAGGGCCATGCAGGAGTCGTTGTGGGGGTTTCATGGACTCTGAATTCTCATTCCTGCTCCATTCTCCGCTGGTGAATCCAAGGCCCCACTCAGTGCCTCGGCTCACAAAGAGCATTTGTGGTGCTGAACCTCATCGAAGCAATCAACACAATAAAGGCGCCTGCTGGGGACCGCGGCCACTGCGGGGGGATGGGGACGGGTCTCCAGAGCCTCTACTTCCCCAGGGCTTTGAGGCATTTTAGCTTCCCCTAGGCACTCGCTCTTCTTTCTTTTTTGTTTCTTTTAGACGGAGTCTAAGCCTGTGGCCCAGGCTGGAGTGCGGTGGCACCATCTCGACTCACTGCAAGCTTCGCTTCCCGGGTTCCCACCATTCTCCTGCCTCAGCCTCCCGAGGAGCTGGGACCACAGGCGCCGCCACCACGCCCGGCTAATTTTTTGTATTTTTAGTGGAGACGGAGTTTCACCGTGTTAGCCAGGATGGTCTCGATCTCCTGACCTCGTGATCCGCCGGTCTCGGCCTCCCGAAGTGCTGGGATTACAGGCTCGAGCTACCGCGCCCGGCCGGCACTCGCTTTTACCAATTCTTATGCTGGCTTTTGTTTTGAGACAGGGTCTCGCTCTGCCGCCCAGGCTGGTTAAAAGAAAACCCCGTCTCTACTAAAAATAACAAAAATCAGCCAGGCGTGGTGTCGCGCACCTGCAATCCCAGCTACTCGGGAGGCTGAGGCAGGAGAATCACTTGAGGATCCGAGATCGCGCCACTGCATTGCAGCCCGGGAGACAGAGGGAGACTCTGTCTCAAAAAAAGGAGAAACAAAAAAACAAAAACAAAGAAAAGTGATGGGGTCTCGCTCTGTTGCCCAGGCTGGTCTGGAACTCCTGGGCTCAAGCGACCCTCCAGCCTCGGCCTCCCAAAGCGCTGGGAGCACAGGCGCGGCCACCGCGCGGTCTCCGGCTGCCGAAACGCCGCCCAGCGCGGGGACCGTTCGGCCGCCGGGAGGAAGAACAGCGGCTGCCCCGAGCTCAGAGACGCGCGCGGCTCCGCGCTCCCCGCGGGGCTCTGCGCCTGCCTCGGCTTGGTTGGCCAGGTGGTCTCTTCAGGGCCAACCCCAGTCATTCCCGGGAGGAACCACGCCTGAGGGGCCGCAGCCTCCCTGCGCGAGACGCCCTCGCGGACTACACCGCGGCCGCACAGCCGAACCCAAGCCGGACATCACCGCGCAGGCGCCTCCGCCACGACCAACATGGCCGCCACGCGAGGCCTCGACCTGAGGGGCGTGGCCTGGCCGCCGCCAGCCAACGGGCGCGCGCGCCTGGCCGCAGCCAATAAGAAGGCAGCGCGGGCTCGGGCGCAGGGCGCCGCCGCCGGGGCTCTAGGCGCTGACTCCATGGCCGGCTTGCGGGTCCCGAACTCCGCCTCGGGCCAGGGCCCAGGGGGCCGCCGGAGGTCCTGGACCGAGCTGCTGGGTAGGCGGGCGCGGCAGGCCGCGGGAGTGGGCGGCGCCGGGCCCGGGACGGTTTCGCCGGTCGCCCAATCCCTTCCCGCCCGAACCTCCGCCGGTCTGATCCCGGGAGGCCGCGCCCGGGGGGTTGCGCGGGGCGGGCGCCAGGCTGGGGCGGCGCGGCTGCCTCGGACCCGGCCCGAACCCGGCCCCTCCTGCGCCTGGGCCGACGCCCTCCGGCCCTGCCCGCGGGGCGCGCCCTGGTTTCCCGAACGCCGCCTCCGCCGGCCGCCCTGCCAGAGCCGGGCCTGGGGTGGGCGGCGTGGGTCCCCTCAGCGCAGAGGCCGCCCCTCGCCAGCCTTCCCGGGCTCCCCTGACTCGGGCTCTCCTGACTCGGGCTCTCCTGACTCGGGCTCTCCTGACTCGGGCTCTCCTGGGCCGTCTTCCGCGGCGTCCGCGCTGGCGCCGTTTCCCGTAGTTTCCCGACCCTGACTCGGGCTCTCCTGGGCCGTCTTCCGCGGCGTCCGCGCTGGCGCCGTTTCCCGTAGTTTCCCGACACCTGCGCCCTGGGGAGGAGTCGCGGCCGCTCTTGGGAGGGTGTCCCTGGTGGGTTTCCCCGCGGCGTCCTGCGCGTCGGGCCCGGGACCCCGGGTGTAAACGGGGCTGTGATGGTTTGGAACCGACTTCTCTCCGTAGCGGGAAGGCTCAAGAGGCAGAAATACAATCCTGAAAGGGCGCAGAAATTAAAGGACTCAGCAGTGCGCCTCCTGCGACGCCACCAGGACCCGACTGCCCTGTTGCTTGAGGTAAGAGGAAGCTGGTGTCCGTCTGCGGGCAGATTTAGGTTCGGGGTTTTTGAGCCCAGCCACGGCACAGCTTTCCCAAGAAAACACGCGAGGCGGCGGGCGCAGTGGCCTGGCCCGCAGAGGGGGAGGGCGGCCTGAGCCCAGGAGTTCTGGAACAGCCTGGGCAACAGGGTGAGAACCCGCCTCTTTTATTAAAAACAAAACAACAACAACAAAAACAGGCCGGGCGCGGTGGCTCAGGGCTGTAATCCTAGCATTTGGGGAGGCCGAGGCGGGTGTATCATCCTAGGTCAGGAGTTCGAGACCAGCCTGGCCAGCATGGTGAAATCCCCGTCTCTACTAAAACTACAAAAATTAGCTGGATGTGGTGGCGGGAGCCTGTAATCCCAGCTACTCGGGAAGCTGAGGCAGGAGAATTGGTTGAACCTGGACCCGGGAGGCAGAAATTGCAGTGAGCCGAAATCACGCCACTTGCAATCCGGTCTGGTTTACAGAGCGAGACTGTCAAAAAAAAAAAAAAAGCCCGGTGTGGTGGCTCACGCCTGTAATCCCAGCACTTTGGGAGGCCGAAGCGAGTGGATCACTTGAGGTCAGGAGTTCAAGACCAGCCTGACCAACATGGTGAAACCCTGTCTCTACTTAAAATATAAAAAGTAGCCGGGTGTGGTGGCGGGCACCCGTAATGTGCCCGAGGTTGCAATGAGGGAGATGCTGCCTCTGCACTCCAGCCTGGGGCACTTCGTCTCAAAAAATAAAAAAAAAATAGCCCAGTAGGGAAGCATTACTTACACACAGCTTGTGTTTATGCACAGAGCTTGATTTTTTTTTTTTTTTTTTTTTGAGACAGAGTCTCACACTGTTGCCCAAGCTGATGTGCAGTGGGGCGATCTCGGCTCACTGCAGCCTCCACCTCCCGGGTTGAAGCAGTTCTCCTGCCTCAGCCTCCTGAGTGACTGGGACTACAGGTGCACACCACCATGCCCGGCTAATTTTTGTATTTTTAGTAGAGACAGGGTTTCGTTATGTTGGTCAGGCTGGTCTTGACCTCGTGATCGGCCCACCTCAGCCTCCCAAAGTGCTGGGTTTACAGGCGTGAGCCACTGCGCCCAGCCTGGAGCTTGAACTTTTTAAATGGAGTTCATTGTTTTGGATTCTAGGTAGAAGGTCCACCGTGTAACAAATTGTCTCTCAACAAATTGATTGACTGTGACAGTTCTGAGGCCTGTGCTAATCATTCTAGTTCCTTTATAGGTAAGTTACAGCTTCATTTTCTCTATTTTGAATTGCAGAAGAGTTTTTATATAGTAACCATGGTTTGCTAAATTAAGTAGAAATTTAAATTTCCTCAGATGGTGGATTTTCACTTTGTGTGGTCACAAATTCTATGTGATGTTTTTGTGACTTGTGTTTGGGTGTCTTATGATGCTGTGTTTAAAAGCAGCGTTTGAGTCAACCTGCAACTCAGAAGCAGTAGGACCCAGAGTGTCCCTTGGAAAAACATGGGATATAGCAGCAACAGGGATTGCCCCTTGCTCATTGAGACCGGTTGTGGTGTACCAGGATAGTAGATGGGAAGGCAATTTTCTAGGTACCTCCTTCTCCCCCCAGTTTGAGAGTGGGAGATGGGGAAAGTTCTGGGTCAACAACAGTAAGTTATTTTCTGATCCTTCACGTCTTTGTTATGTAATGACTTGTTTCTATTAAAATAACCTTCAGTAATAACGCTCCCTTGACCACTGAACACTGAATGTCATTGGCAAATGATACGGATTTTCACTGTCACAATTATATTTGAATTTCACAAATTACATATTATCATTCCAAGGATCCAGACTAGCCGCACAGATAAACCTTTGATTCATTAATTTTTCAGTTTTTTTCTGCTGAAGATAGAGTTAGTGCGCGCGTGCGCGCGCACACACACACACACACACAGTAAACACACACACACACACACACACACAGTAAAAGCCTTGTAGATAAAAACAGACTTTCCCGTGGAGATACATTGGAAACAAACGACTAGAAATTGGCATGGTCGGCCGGGCACAGTGGCTCACGCCTGTAATTTGCAAGCACTTTGGGGGAGAGCTGGAGGGATTGTGGTAGATCACTGAGGTCAGCGGATTTGAAGACCAAGCTGACCAACATGGTCGAAACCCTGTCTCGTACTAAAAATGACCAAAAATTAGCTGGGGCATGGTGGTGTGGCTACTAGCCCAGCTTACTCAGGAGGCTGAGCGCAGGGAGGTTACTTGGAACCTGGAGGCGGAGGTTGCAGTGAGCCGAGGACCTCTCCATTGCACACTAGCCTGGGGCACAAGAACACAAAACTACGTCTAAAAAAAAAAAGAAAGGAATTGTCTGCTTTTTTTTTTTTAAAAAAGAGCATTCTGTTTGCCCAGGCTGGAGTGCAATCAC